TACCACTAGAAGAAGTTGAGGGGATTTTGAAATTTGAGGAAGCATTAAGTATGTGGAATAAGAAATGTCAAAAATAGACTGTATAGATTCTGGTGAAAATTCATAAATTAGAGGCAATGTCTTGTGATCCTTTTGTCTGGGAATTTAATCGTCCTAAATCTGGTTTTTTCTAAAAGTTGTTTTATTTTTAGAAAATAGAAAAACACAAATGAGTTTGAAAGCTTTCAACAATAGCTCATGATTTGAACCAGAGCAATAGTGTTTTCTTGGAATTCCCAGATCTTTGTTTATCGGATTCTTCGTAAACGCTTCCTTATAGTATTGTTGCTTCAGGCACTTGAGCTTTCCAAAGACGAAGTTGTGAATAGTATGGAAATTGCTACGATTTTTTAATTGTTTTCTCTTCTTTGTGGCACAATGATTACGACTCGGTTTCTAAGATTCCGATGAATGCCGAACTTGGCATATCACTTTTTACATAATACTAGAAAACTTTATGCTTAGTTTTCCTTTGAATTTTCCAAACCAAAATTAACCTAAAAAATTAACCAACAAAAAATTTGCGAATATCTAGAATTCATCATGACAGTTGTGATCGGTAACGATAGCAGAGTATGAACAAAGTACTAAAATTTCACCATGTCTACACGACAAAATGTTAGCAACAATTGGCTCGCTTATCACCACGTTTAATGATAGTAGGATGCAGGTATAGTGAATGTGCAATTGAGCAAGAAAATAGTAAAAGAGGAGATATAATTGAAGAACTTGAAATATCTTTCGTCGATCAACTTTATCTACAAATTTTTCAAAGTTACAAACAACAACAGATTTATTGCTCCACAACCTCCCCTCAACCGTCTTGACCAATAGAAACGAGGTTTACGATTCCGCCAGAAATGTTGAAGATGTGGAGCGGTTTCATCGCATCGAAAGACAACTTTGTTGGGCAAGTCAACTGCAACTTACACTGTGCAAATAAAGACAAATTTGGAAATGGAAGATGATGAAGTTTGAAAGTCGCCTTTGTTTACTAATGGCGGAGGCAAGGACCATTTCAAAGCACGCGTAAGTATTAACATCTTAGTTTCTTCCGTTTTCTTACCAAATCTCGCTGACATTCTTCAATCCTGTTTCAAAGATTGCCCAAACTGCTGTTTGTATTATTGCTAAAGGTTCTTGAGGGATTTTGTGAAAGTAAAACCTTTCTTTGGCCTTTTTGGCCTTTTTCTGTGTATCAAAAGGTACTGGCACCTGTATTTGATTTCACCATGACTATGCTTTCGCCACATAATTGCAATTGAAATCCTCGCTGAAAGTATTTTCATGCATTCATTTTCCTTTCTGAATAGATATACTTTGTCTTCTTCCATTCAATCGACATTTCCATCTTTGTTTCCTTAACTTTTGCTTTATAAATCACATCAAGTGGATACAACGTCTTATATTTTGTTTTTAGAGTCAAAAATCAAATGCAAAGTACATTTTGTTCATCTTTGCAAGTTGTTCAACAAAATAGCATTGGTTTGGTTTCCTGATCTATCGATGTCATTGTAACAATGTTTTATTCTACATGTAAGTTGAAATACTTTAAGTTGCTTACAGTATAAAGAAAATCAGAAATGACACATGAAACCTCGACAAGACAGGCAGTACACGTTTGCTCTCCCTCAATGCGACGTTTTTAGATTTCTACCCTATGAAGTGCACTAATTTGTATATTAATAATACCCGTTATTAGGAAGAAATGGGGTCCTATGAAAATTTTCGCCTTCGAAATCAATCTTCATACTTTTCAATAAACAAATACACGCAGCCTTTCCATCTTTGTTCCATGTTTTATCGATTTCGTTGCAACTGCGGTTACATGCTACAAGAAAACACAGAGGTGCAGCAATCAATTCCCTACTGAGCAGCCTCAAATCGAATCCTTCAGAAAACTTAACAATGAATCCATTTTGGTGATTCTCACGAGGAAAGTGGCATCAGTGCTGCACTTCCCACTGGGCAGAACGGGCCCGGCCCCGGGGCGCACAAGCAATATGGGCCCTAAATAGGCATCCGAAAAAATATTATAGTAATACAACAATATATTATTACATGGTGATCATTGTCATTTTGCTATCGATTGTATTCGGAAGAAAATCTCCTTTGACCACAAAAAAGAATCATCACGTGATTTTTTAGATTTTTCACATTTTCGCCCCCCCCCCCACTTACTAGGACCCCCCGCTTATTTATTTTTTGAAAAACTTCTGACCTCCCAACTATCAAGACCCCCCTTCTATGAAGGACCTTAGAGTATCAAGACTTTGCCAAGCTTTTGGGGTGAAGCTTTTGGCTTGCTTTCTTGCATAACGATTGTACATGTGTCCCAAACCCTATCCAATTATATTGTATAATAAGCAAAATTGCTTGAAAGAGAGCATTCTGCACCGAACTGGAATCACTCATTTTCGACATTCTTCTCGCCCTTCACCGGCAATTACGGGTATCAAGTTAATGGAGACGTTTCGTTGTGATTAAGGATCCATACTTATCAATAAAGAATTGAGCACAAATTTTAATTGTTCACATAGCATAGTAACAAATTTTTGTAGCTACAGAAATTTTAATCTTTCATTCATTTTTACAATAAATCACGAATTCACAGTTCTACTCTGGTTCTATCAAATATTCCGACTTTTACTATTATTATTATTATTATTAATTTCTTTATAGTGGGCGCTTAAAGTGATAGCAAAATTACTGCTAATTGGGGCCTACTAAAACAAAAGCAAAAAATAAAATATATCTAAAAAATCTAACTATTGAAATATATCTAACATAAAAACGATCTTTATATATACATACATATGCTACATATTTACAGGCGAGTTTCTAATTTAGATAAAAACAAGATTAATTTAGGAGCCCAACCTGTGCTAAGAAAGACTTGCATAATCGGCAGTTGCATTCATCACCCTTTCACTCCTTTATACGTTCTTTACAGATGGAAATATTAAGTGACTGTTTAATGTCAGTTGAGATTCCATGCCACAGTTGACATCCCAAGAAAGAAATGCTCTCTATCCCAAACCGAACTGTCCGGGCCTTGGGCATTTGTAGAAGATTTTTGCTTCTTAGACGATTTAGTTTTGTAAATCGCTGTCATCAGCAACTGTAGATTCCGTTTATGTACCGACACAGAATTTCGTCAAAAGTTTATCATAGTCAGAAACACTATCCTTTTATATGCGATGCTCAGCGTCTTTTTGTGAATGTGGTTGATCTTGTTAATTAGATTTCTGTCACAGAACATCCACACTAAGGGGCAGTAGCTAAACTGGGATAGGATAAATACCCGCATGATATGCTTGAGTTTTTCAGAAAAGCCTGCTCCAATTTTTAGCGATAAATCATTGTTCTTTTCACAGAAAATCATCAAGTAGCACCTATCGCCATTTAGCTTCTTGTAGTTATTCTGAAACCATTCTGAAAGGATTAGGGTTTCGCTTTCTAATTCATTGATTATGTTTTCATGATTGCATCGCAGACATAGATTGATGCATCATCAGCATAATTGCATATTCTGCAGTCTGTCACAAACATAAAAAACTCTCTAGAATATTATTTACTTTAATGAAGTTCAAGGAATCAATGAATTACTGAAAAAAGGGCTGAGAGGAAGTCTCATTATATCAAAGCAAGAATATGTGGAAATATTTACTTGGAAATTTATAACCTTTGAAAATAAAATCTTTTATCTGTAAAAAGTCTGTAAAAAGTGTTAAAACTCATTTATCGATGAAAACTGAAGAAGGATTCTCTTTCCAATTAAAAGTTTCCATGGAATTGTTTTCCAAGGAATGTTTACGTCCAATCGTGGTGACACCTTTATCCAAATGCCGCCGTTTCGAAACTCAAATTGCTTTTATAGGCACAAATTTGATTGTGACGTAATATTGATTGAAAACGTAACATATCCATCAAATATATGCTTCTTGCGTTGGTATTCTGCCTGAATGAAAGAATAATCGTAAATTGTCTGTTATAGATAGATAATGCATGAAAATTTCTTCTAAGGATTTACTTGTATTGTTGTCGTCAATTTCATGCATTCTAACTGAAGCTAGCAATGTCAGCTTTGTGTTTATCTTTGAAAACACTTATTTAAAAGTTTATTTATATGATTACATTGAAGGAACAAAGTTGATCTTGCAAAAGACCATATTCGAAAGAAACATAAATAATTGAGGCCATATTTTTGCTTGAATTCAACTACTCATCAGAATTGATAATTTTTAAAATATGAATCGTTCAAACATAGTAGACTATTATTACCTATTGTTGGACTATGGGTCAAATTTTCATATAAAATGATTAATGCCATAAGCAAAACTCAATTTTTCCATATTTTATCAGTCTGTTCATCCAAATGTTTAAATGTTCATTATCTATATGGTTGTATCAGACTAGACTATAATTTTTCTTCTTTGGTCTTTGGGTCACATCCTCATATACAAGGTTTATCTTTCATCAGAAAAATGCAATAGACGATTTTTTCCATTCTTTATCAGTCCGCTCATCCATATGCTTAAAACTTCCATTATGTACATGGTTGTATTAGCTTAGACCATAAATCTTCATTTTTGTTCTTTGGGTCACATCTACATATATAATGTTTTTTTCATCAGCAATATGCACTGGACGATTTTTCCATATTTTGCCAGTCCGCTCATAAGAATTATTAAAATCTCTATTATCTGCATAGTTGTATCAGGTTAGACGATAATTCTTCATTTTTCGTTTTTGGGTTACATCCACATGGAGAATATTTATTTTTTATCAGCAATCTGCAATAGACGACTTTTTCCATATTTTGTCGGTCCGCTCATTAGAATTATTAAAATCTCCATTATCTGCATCGCTGTATTAGTTTAGACCATAATTCTTCATTTTTGGCCTTTTGGTCACATCCTCATAAAAAATATTTATTTTTCATCAGCAATATGCAATACAAGATTTTTCCATATTTTGTCATTCCGCTCATCAGAATCCATAAAATCTCCATTATCTGCATCGCTGTATCAGCTTAGACCATAATTCTTCATTTTTCGTCTTTGGGTCACATCCTCATATAAAATGTTTATTTTTCATAAGCAACATGCAATAGACGATTTTTTCATATTTTGTCAATCCGCTCATCAGAATCCATAAATTTTCATTATCTGCATGGTTCTATCAGCTTAGACCATAATTCTTCATTTTTGGTTATTGGGTCACATCCTCATATAAAATGTTTTTTTTTCATCACATCATGCAATAGACGATTTTCCATATTTTGTCAGTCCGCTCATCAGAATCCATAAAATTTTCATTATCTTCATGTTTCTTTCAGCTTAGACCATAATTCTTCATTTTAGGTCTTTGGGTCACATCTACATGTAGAATGTTTATTTTTCATCAGCAATATGCAATCGACGATTTTTCAACATTTTGTCAATCCGCTCATAAAAATCCATAAAATTTTCATTATCTTCATGTTTCTTTCAGCTTAGACCATAATTCTTCATTTTAGGTCTTTGGGTCACATCTACATGTAGAATGTTTATTTTTCATCAGCAATATGCCATCGACGATTTTTCAACATTTTGTCAATCCGTTCATCAGAATCCATAAAATTTTCATTATCTGCATGGTTCTATCAGCATAGACCATAATTCTTCATTTTTGGTCTTTGAGTCACATCTTCATGTAGAATGTTTATTTTTCATCAGCAATATGTAATCGACGATTTTTCAACAATTTGTCAATATGCTCATCAGAATCCATAAAATTTTCATTATCTGCATGGTTCTATCAGCTTAGACCATAATTCTTTATTTTTGGTGTTTGGGTCACATCCTCAGGTATAATGTTTTTTTCATCAGCAATATGCCATCGACGATTTTTCAACATTTTGTCAATCCGTTCATCAGAATCCATAAAATTTTCATTATCTGCATGGTTCTATCAGCATAGACCATAATTCTTCATTTTTGGTCTTTGAGTCACATCTTCATGTAGAATGTTTATTTTTCATCAGCAATATGTAATCGACGATTTTTCAACAATTTGTCAATATGCTCATCAGAATCCATAAAATTTTCATTATCTGCATGGTTCTATCAGCTTAGACCATAATTCTTTATTTTTGGTGTTTGGGTCACATCTACATGTAGAATGTTTATTTTTCATCAGCAATATGCAATGGACGATATTTCCATCTTTTGTCAGTCGGCTCATTAGAATTTATAAAATCTCCACTATCTTCATGGCTGTATCAGCTTAGACCATAAATCTCCATTTTTGGTGTTTGGGTCACATCCTCAGGTATAATGTTTTTTTCATCAGCAATATGCCATAGACAAACTTTTCCATATTTTGTCAGTTCGCTCATTAGAATTTTTAAAATCTCCATCATCTGCATGGCTCTATCAGCTAAGACCATAATTCTTCGTTTTTGGTCTTTTGGTCACATCCTTATATAAAAAGTTTATTTTTCATCAGCAATATGCAAGAAACGATTTTTCCATATTTTGCCAGTCCGCTCA